AGGCAATGACAATACTCCCAAACAGAAGAGAAGTTTCCCCCCAGCATTTTTCTAGAGGGCAGAATGAATGTTTTGATGACTTTGGCATCACTCAAGAATACTTAAAGCCGCTTTGTTTTGTAGCAGGTCCTTTGACAAAGGCGCAGGCACTCAGCATTCAGACCATGGCGTCCTGTAAGTGTTGTCTGTATTCGCCAAGGTCAGATTGAATCCTTGCCTCTAACCATAGGAAAAAAGACAAGACTGGAGTTTTGGGGAAAAAATAGAGGAGGATGTGCATAAATGTCACCTGCAACTTGTTTGGCTTGTGGCTTTCTCTCACTGGAAGCCTGTGGAACTCCCAGCTTTCCACTTTCCCCTGCTGCTTTTTGTTTGTTGGCTTTGGTGCTGGGGCTAGATTGAAATAAAAAGCAGAAAACGGTGCAAAAACCTCTAAATTTCTGTAAAAACAGCCCAAAACCCTCTAAATTTCTGTGTGGTCCTGTAAAGTTTCAAAACACAAGTCCTGTAGCGTTCTCCCACCTGCCAGGTGGGGTTAATGGATGTAGCAGTTGGACCTTTTGATATCTTCTGAATTCACAGCAAGCCACAAGCTCTGGGAGCCAGATTCACATTGCGCTGTCTCTGTTGGGTCACTCTGGTTTCAGAAATTAATTACAATTTTACTTTTCTTTCTTACACAGCTCTTTCTATTCTAGGAGCATGTCCTGTGCAAAATATCATTTTCAATTTCTCTTTTTCTCATCCCTGATATGAAATAGGGATAAAAAGGAAGGCACTACTGGTGGGAATTTAGTCACTTTATATATTTGTAAAGAAAAGCAGAAATATAAAGTGTCAATAATCCTGAGTTGTTACCAAGGTAAAAAAGTAGTGGAAACACTATTTTCTGTGGTTGTTCATATTTTCTCAGGTGTTTGGAGACCCAAAATGTACCAGATTATGGTATGAAATTGCCATACTTGAAATATTCCTTAGTACATTCACAGAATCCCAGAATAGTCTGGGTGGGAAGTGACCTTAAAATCCATCCCTGGGCAGAGACACCTGCCCCTGTCCCAGGCTGCTCCCAGTGTCCAGCCTGGCCTTGGGCACTGCCAGGGATCCAGGAGCAGCCACAGCAAATCGGGGAATTCCAGCCCAGCCAGGAATTCCTTGCCAAGATCCCAGCCCAATCTCCCCTTTCCCAGTGGGAGCCACTCCCTGGCTCCTGTCCCTGCAGGCCTTGTCCCCAGTCCCTCTCCAGCTCTCCTGGAGCCCCTCCAGGCCCTGCAAGGTCTCCCCAGAGCCTTCTGCAACAACCCCAACTCTGATGTTTTCAGTTCTTTAGTTCATTTTAGGTTAGGGGTGCTAATATTATGTATAATATTGGAATTTTTTTGAGTTTGGAGGAGCTGTTGTCCTAATCCCATTGTGGTGAATAGTTTGGCTTCCTATAAAATATCAGTAACTTCCAGCACAAGTGGAAAAAGTTATGCTATGCTGAATTATCTGTATGTCTATTTATTACAGTTAAATGGGAGGAGTTACTCAAATTTAATTCTTGCTGGATTTAAAAAAAAATTCTACATAATTTCTTATTTGGTTGTGGACTGATTTTTCTTAGTGGTATGTGAAACTCAATTTGTTTTTAAAAAGCTCAGAACACTTGTAGATCATAGGAGGAGAGGTTTAAGTAATTTTAGGTATTGTTGCATGTACAGGTTTAAGGCGAACTTAGGTCTTAGTTGGCCTACTTTAATACAAAATTGTTATCTCAAAATTATTTTGTTTACTTTTCTCTTGAGGAACAAACTCTGGTGCTTATGCAAACCAAGTCCTGGTATGTAATTGTTCTAATTGGATTTTCAAAATTTCTGTCAGTCACAGGCTGTAGTTTAGCTCCAGCAATATTTTGAGTTTGAAACACCAACTGTTACTGAAATGTCTGTTGGGTTCAAATATGCTTTTCCTTTGCTTATATTATTTTGTGGCCAAGTCATTTGCCATTAACTCCTTTGAAATTTGTGTGTACTGATTTCAAAGCCAGTGCAATTTTTAGATGTTGGCTAGTTAAAGGAAGCCAAATTTTCTTCTTGGCTTCATATTTTATGCTAATCAAATGATAAAAAATGTAAAGCTCTTCATTCTAAATTTTTGTTAGTCCATGCAGCCAGCTACTTCTGCTTCTCTGGAAAGCAGGTGGATTATTTTGGTACTTCAAGTGATGTGGTAACAGGAGAAGCAGGACAGGCAGCTGTGCTCTCCAGGGTACCTTTCCAGATAAGATAAACACAAGCTTGTACTGTTATGTGGAATTACCATGTGAAGTATCTGAGGGTGCCATGCTGTTCTTAAGAACAGGGTGTGACACCTCCTTGGGTGGCTTGGGAAGGGTCAGGGTAGGGGACCTGGGGGTGCTGCTCCACAGTGGCTGAGGGGCACTCCAGGTGTGCCCAGGGAGAGTTTAAGGTGGATTTTAGGGGAAATTTCTGCCCAGAAAGGGCTGTCCAGGGCCGGAGTCCCTGTTCCAGTCCTTGCCCTGCAGGGATCTCACACCTGGGACACCTGGGGACGTGGGGCAGTGGTGGCAGTGCTGGGGGATGGTTGCACTGGACGGGCCTAAACCCAAACAATTCTGGGATTCTTTGATGTGAAAGTGGGGATTTGATGGTGCAGCTGAGCTCAGGTTCTGCCCTGTACCCAGGGGAGCCTTTCCAGGTCTCCAGCATGAGCCCCTTTCCCGCAATTAAACTGCTTCAGCCTTTGGTACAGAATTCATTTTTTGAGAATGGATAAATGAATCTTCTACTGTCAGCTAAACTTAATTAAAAACCCGGCCTGCTAAGAAATTGGTGCCATATTTTTCATGGATCCAGAATGAACAGCCTACTTTCAACAGCTATTTCCAACCAAACTTTCAATGTAACTGAATTAATTAAGTCCTGGGAACAGATTATATTAGGGGAAATTAAGCTCTAAGTAAGCAAACCATTAACAATTATGAGACCAAATTGCCTGTGACACAGATTGGTCAGGTTTGATGGCACAAAGTATTTTCAGTTTGCGAGGAATAAATTGTAGAAACAACCCGGGTTTTTTTAATCCATGTATGAGGTACAGGTCCTAATTTGGGCTTTATAGGAGAAGAATTCCAGCAGGTAGAGAAAATAATCACCACTGCTAAGGCATTTGTAAGGCTTCAGTGTGAAATAATCCTGCATTATTTTTTGTTTGATTTTGTTTTTATTTGTTTCCTGCAGTTATTATCAAAAGATGAGAAGCCCTTCTCTGGTAACAGTCTCATTAATCTTTCATAGAATCTCCCTTATTTTAAAAATAGCAGTTTCTTGTTTCTTCTAATGGCAGCAAGTTTTGGTTTCCATCACAGAAACGGATCCTGATGGTCATCCACAGGGGACTGGCCTGTCAATGATTCCTTTGTGCTTTTAATTGTCTTTTTCTACTTAAGGATTGTTGATACATAACAAGGGCTTTATTTTGAAATGCATCTCTTATAGTCACTCAGCATCATGATTATTCTCAGAAATAATATGAAAAGTTGTTTTTTTTTATATACTGGCTGTGTTACATGTTTATATTTTGGGATGAGATATTTCACTGAGGATTATCTTTGCCTTAAATACATTCCAGAATATAATGTTTATGCCAGAATATCCATTTATGCAAATACTGTACCACTTTAATTACTAGGCACTGATTTTTTTACACAAAAAGTGAAATCTTGCTTGCTGTCTTTTAATAATTAGAAGACTATTGGGAAGCACTTCAGAAGCAAAAATCAACAAGAAACTCTGTGTTTTCTTGTCTTGTAGAGGCAGGACTGTTGAGGTTGCAGCATCTGGTGTGCAGGTTTGGAGTTCACTTTCCAGCCACACAGTGGCTGTGAGCTGCAAAGGAACTTTCAACTTCAAAATATGTCAATGTATTGATAAGAAAACTATTTGGGGCAGCTTCTGTACCAAGTTGCAATGGATATTTAAAGTAAATATGATCATAGAAAATGTTCCAGAGCAACAGAAACCGAAGCAATGGCTCACTTTACACATATTCACGAATTCTGGGATGTGGCTGTTGCTGGGAGGAGGAATTTATGTTTATGCTAATGTTGCCATAAGTATTGTTTATTAAGGGAAAAAACAACAAATGACACCAGAAATGGATTTTGTCAGTGCAGATTTCACTTTAATTCTGAGTGAATTCTGTTACTTCATGAAAGAGTTAATATGCTGTTGTGGTGCTGAGAGATTGATAGGCAGAGGAAATAGGAGGTACCTGGAAAGAACTTCTGATCCCTAATATTGCACAAGTTGCTTTTCTCTTGGCTCGCCTCCCCTCCACGTTGTTATTTTTACCCAGGCTCCCTAATCTTCCTTTTTCCTCTAACCACCTCCCAGTTTCCTGTTGGCCTCTTCCCTCTGGTTTTGTCCCAAATGTTCTGTGTTTTTCCCTGCTCTGCCGTGGGATTGCAGGGCAGTGAGCTAAGATGAATGCCATAGCTGTTTTCACAGTGTCTATCATCTTCTGTGTTTCGTGCCTCTTTGCAGCTCTGGGTGTAAGTTCCTTTTCTGAGGAGATTTTGTTGTCTGGATATTGTTTGAAATGTAAATATTAAATTTTGAGTTGCTGTGTAAACAATAATTTAAGATTTTCAATTCTAATTAAAGATTATTTGCAGCTCTGTGAAACCTCTGTTCTAAGTTTTTGAAGTAGTGTTTTCTTTAGTGTGCACTGAAGAATATTCCTTGGAACACGGCTGGGAGAGACAATTACTTGTTCAGCTTCGTTTCTGGGATATATGTTTTCAAAACAATATGAAGTTATAATTTATTTTCTTTTCCTTCAGAACATTTCCATTCTTTTTCAAAAACAGTGTTGGAAAATATGAATTGATCTGAGTAAAGCTGCTTTTCATTGTCATTTTAAATCCTTTTTACATATCTTGAAATATGAATTTTCTTTCCAGTAAGTAACAGAAAGCATTTGCTTTTCTTTTGCAGATTGCATTCTCACAGCACAGCAACTTTATGGACCTGGTGCAGTTCTTTGTGACATTTTTCAGGTACTTTTCATTTAAGACAGCTAAATGTTATTTCTTTAGGTTCTGGGCTTCAGAGTTTGGGTTCTTCTTGGTCTGGCTTTTTTTAACTTGAACATCCTGCTTACAGCACAGCCTAGGAAATGGAAATCTTCACTCTGATTTAAATGTTTAATTAGGAATTATGTTAAGAAAATTAATTGTCTGTGCATCTTTTCCAATGCATGATGGCAGTGCATGCAAGGAAAGGGAGGATGGGGCTGGGAGGGGCTTTTGGAAAAGGAGAAGTTCCTTTTGAGAGGGTGTAGAAAACATTGACTTGCCACAGCTGTGTGTGACTTACTGCAGGTTGTCACAGCTTGTCAGACACCAGCCACAAACCAGGGGAGTTATTTTGCAGAGTTAAGTCTGGAATAATTTCCAGCTGTTCGGGTACCACCATTGATTTTAAACTGAACTCTGAAAAGTATGTCAATTTAAATACAAACATATGTTACAGTTCAATGGAAGCCAAATTCTTCTGGTTTTCATACACAGCTCTAAGTTCATTTCTTAGTGTCAAGTGAACTCATGATTCCCTCAGAGTGGGAACCAACAGAAGCCATTTCAAGCCCTGTCTCCTCTTCATTGCTCAAAAAAATACAAACCTAACAAAGAGGTGAAACACTTCCAAAGCACAGCAGGCCCTCTCTTCAAAATCTAGCATATTGGCCTCTGTTTCAGGGACTGCTAATACTCCAGAAGTGGAAACCAATACCTGATCGACAAGGAGTCCTACAGGAGGGATATACATGGAGTAAACACCACTCCAGGTCTCACAGCCTGTTCTAAAGTAGGCAATATTATGCCTGGTGTAAAATGAGCAGTGGGAGTAATATCTTGCTTTAGATTTCATGCTAAATTTAATTAAAGCAAGAAGCTCCAGACAGACCTTTCAGACAAGTGGTTTATATAATTTTTTTTTTTCATATGGAGCTTTTAGAGAGTAGAATCTGCTTATTGCATTTCCTGGAAACAGTAGGTTTGATCCCTGGGAATCAGAACCACCACCTCCTGCCATTGGAGCAGAGTAGGTGGTTACTCCTGGCTCAGGCTTCATCATTTGTTTTGCTGAATTAATCACAGTCAACATCTTCCCTAAAAATCTTTGTGGCAGGGTAATTGCTTATTAGGAAAATGAAGAGGGAAGCAGTTGGTTCCTTAGTTCTTTTCTAATTGTGTAAGATAAATCTGCACTACAAAACCTGTCCAATTACTGCTTTACAGACCTAACTACATCTGCACATAAGGGTTTAAACTCCTCAGGATGAAGGATTGCTCCAGATTCATTGTTTGAAGAGATTCCCAGAGCAGCTGTGGCTGCCCCAGGATCCCTGGCAGTGCCCAAGGCCAGGCTGGACATTGGGGCTGGAGCACCTGGGACAGTGGGAGGTGTCCCTGTCATGGCAGGGGTGGTACTGGGTGGGATTTAAGGTCCCTTCCAACCCAAATCCTTGCATGATTCCAGTCCCAGGTTAAAGCAGATCAGTGCACTGTGTGTCTCAGTGGGCACATGCAGTAAAACATCCATGTCCAAAAGGCTGCAAGTTCCCTTTCCTTTCTTCCATCACTGAAATCACATGGCTCTCCTTGAGAAGTAATGTTGCAATACTATTTAACATCCTAACAAGCCAGAGAAATAGGAACATGTGGATTTGGGAGAAGACAGTTTACAGGTGTTTTCCAGTTAAGCATTTATAATGTGCTGGAAATTCTTTGATTCTTTCACTACTCCTAAGCTTCTCTCCAGGTGTTTTATTTTACAGTCACCGTAACTCCCTAATTAACCAGTGGATTAGAACAGTGTGATTCATCTCACTGGGTGTAGGGGAAACTATTGAAACATTTGCATTTTTAATGCTCTAGGGCACATTTCATAATTATTGTGGGATCCAAGGCAGACCATAAATAACTAATACCTGAGAGCCCCCTGTGCTGTTAATAAGTAACAGTTGGCTGAGAATTTGCTCCCTAAAATAGAGGCAAGGAAAATGCTTTGTGAAAACCTAAAACCAGTTGGTATCATTAACACCAAACTCAAAACCTGGGATATGTACCAATTTCTTAGGTGTATTGGAGACCTAAAGAGATGTTGTTCTGGAAAACAGATGTTTAGAGGCTTTCTGTTTGCACATTTAAGGGTATTGCTTCATTTTGCTGTTCTGCAGGAAGTGTGGGAGTTGCCCAGGGCAGCTGTGGCTGCCCCATCCCTGGAAGTATCCAAGGCCAGGTTGGATGGGGCTTGGAGCACTCTGGGATAGTGGAAGGTGTCCCTGCCCGTGGCAGGGGGGCTGGAACAGGTGATTTTTAAGATCACTTCCAACCCAAACCATTCTTTGACTCTTTGAATTTGGGAAATCTGTCTGAGCTGGATATGCTGTGGCACATTTCTTTATTCTGGAAGCCACTTCCCCCCAGAAAACCCCGCTGGGCTTTTCTGCTGTGCAGCTGGAGGCATCATCTGTGCCTTGAGCTGTGTGGAGCACCTGAGAGGGACTTGGGGGATTTTCAGTGTCTCTGCTGTCATTTGAGGTGAATGAGGTCAGTGCAGTCCTTGCAGAGAGCTGTGGGCTTCCCACAGCCCAGCACTGCTGAGTTTTGCTATCCCAGGCACTGGCTGGGCTGCCTGTGGGGTGCACAGGGCATGGAAAAGCAGGAGCCTGGTCATGCATTCAGACAGCACCAGGCAGTGTGCAGCAGGACACAGGACTGGTTTTCATTTCATTTAGGAGCTGGCTCCTGTGATCAGAGGGCTGTGCCTCGCATTTAGAGGGGCTGTTGGATTCCTGGAGTTCAGCACCAAGCCAGGCAGGGGGCTGTGTATGACACAGCCTTAATTTGTACACATGAATGTGTTATTTTAAGCTAAGAAAATGTCAGTGGATAAAGGTTGGGTAGAACGGTGAAGTTCCAAGGTCGTTAATATTGCGTTATAATCAGAGCCAGAGGAGAAATGGTATTCCAACCATTGTTAACCTTTGCAAAGCTAATGAGCTGCAAGGAAACTGGGGTTTCTCTCTCCTCCTCTCTGCTTTAATTTACAGATTGTGCAGCTGTCTTTCAGCACATAGTTTGAGCTATTTTGACAATTTCTAGTGAACATTCTTTATTCATATCTGTGCTTCCTTATCTTCCAAAAAATCTGTCTGCCAGCACACCTATCACAGGTACTAATCACCAGCGTACCTTTATGTACAGAAGATGTAAAAATATTTGTGGCCTTATAAGCCCATATTATTGCCCAGTAATCCTTCTCCCTTTTTCTTTCTCCCTTTTTCTTTCTCTCCCCTTCTTCCATTCTTCCCTTTTCCTTTTCTTCTTTTCTTCCATTCTTCCCTTTTCCTTTTCTTCCCTTGAACCTTCAGCCCAGAGAGCACTTGAGAGACCTTACTGGGATCTCTACATCATTTAAAGGAGTTCAGAGGAAGATGGGGATGGACATTGAAGTGGGACCTGTAGTGATGTAACAAAGGGTGATGACTTTAAATTGAAAGATGGTCTATTAAGTCTAGATCAGGGAAGAAATCTTTTCTACTGAGGGTGGTGAGACGCTGGAGTAGGCTTCCCAGAGGAGGGGTGGATACCCCATCACTGAAACATTCCACTCCAGGCTGGACAGGGCTCTGAGCAATCTGACCTGGCTGAAGATGTTCCTGCTCATGGCAGAGGGGTTGGACCAGAGATTGGGCCTTTTAAGGTCTGTCCAAGCCAAACCATTCCATGATTCTCTGTGGTCTCATCCTGAGCTTTACTACATGGATTTACCAGATACCTCATGTGTCTTCTACTGCACTTCTCTGCTGGTTCTCACATGCACAACTCATTTTGTTTCCTGCCTGCTGTTTGTCTTGTCTTCATTATCTGTCCTTCTAAGGAAGTCTAGTGTCTGCTCCAGTCTAGGGGAGGCATTGCTGCCCATTCCATGCAGGGTGGTTGAAGCTGGATATGAGGTCCCTCCCAGCCCAAAGCAGTGTGTGATTCCATGATCCAACATGTCCCACCGAAGCCTTACCATAATTGTTAGAGAAATGAGTGTTATTTCACAAATGGAATAAAAGCTGCCAGCTTAGTGTTTTTGTGGTGGCACATCAAACCTCATGTGCCCCATTAGGATCTGAATATCAAATGGAAATAGTGTAGTTTTAGTTTGATACAAATAATTGGACTTGTTCCTCATAAAAACTTGAGCAGGAGAACTGTTTGCTCAGTACAAGACTCACACAGATGGTTTTATGTATTGTATATTGTTTTCCTTAAATATATGTATTTTCCCAGTGTTTTCATTAAGTGGGAATGCCTCCTGCAGTAATTCAAATCTGTAGTTATGCTGCAGATATTTTATTTACTCTTGTTGCTTATTAAATAATTTTTTACTTTAGCACAAATGTCTTTATTAAATAGGTGCTTAAAATACAGTCTAAGTCCCTTATTGGGTTTTTTTTCTTAGAAAAAGGAAGAGCTTGGGAATATTTTCACATTATTTCTAACAAAATGAAGAAGAGTAAGAGATCAGCATCCATAACTTCCTTTTTTCCATGTGTTCAGCACTCTTTACTTCATCCTCCATAATCATAGAATAGAATCATAAGATCACTGAGGTTGGAACAGCCCTCTGAGATCAGCGAGTTCAAACACTCCCCCAGCACTGCCACCACTGCTCCATGTCCCCAGGTGCCACATCCACAGGGCTGTGAAATCCCCCCAGAGATGGGGACTGCACCCCTGCCCTGGGCAGCTGTGCCAGGGCTGGGCAGCCCTTTCCATGAGCAGTTTCCCCACTGTCCACCCAGACCCTCCTCTGAGGCCATTCCCTCTGCTCCTGTCCCTGTTCCCTGGAGCAGAGCCCGACCCCCCTGGCTGTGCCCTCCTGGCAGGAGCTGTGCAGAGCCACAAGGGCCCCCTGAGCCTCCTTTGCTCCAGGCTGAGCCCCTTCCCAGCTCCCTCAGGGATTGTGCAGCCCATTCCCAGCTCCCTCAGGGATTGTG